GTAATTTAAATACATTTTTATATTGTTTATTAAACCTTTTACATAAGCCTCTAGTTAATTCTAAATGTTGTTTTTGATCTGGACCAATTAAAACATCTGCATCAAAAAGTAAAATATCACTTGCCATTAAAACAGGATAACTATATAAACCTAATGATTTAAAAACACCTTTATTTATTTTAGATTTAAATTGTGTCATTCTATTTAATTGACCAACTGGTTGAAAAGATGATAATAAACAACTTAACATTGTATGTTCTTGAATTTGAGATTGAATATAAACATTTTCTTTTTCAATTCCACATGCAAAAGCTATTTTTGCTAATTCTTCTTGAAAGATTGGAATTTCTTCATTTTCTTTTCTAGTACTTATTGAATGTAAATCACCAATTAAAAAAAATAAATCATATTCTTTTTGTAATTTAATTAAATTTTTAAAAATTATTAAATAATGAGCTAATGTTGGGAAACTTGAAGAGGTAATACCACTAATAATTCTTCTTTTTTTCAATTTCATTTTCTTTTTTTGAATTTTTTATATCATCATTTTTAATAATAAAATTATCTTCAATTTTATTATCATTATTAATTATTTGTAAATTTGTATCATCTTTTTTTTGATGTTGTCATAAATTAAATATTTTTACATTCATTGCAATACCAAGAAAAGTTAAAATAATTGAAAATGGTGAACATACAAAAAATATTATTCTAGATAATATTGTTGTTTTTATTATTGTACGAACTTGTATATCTGAATCATAAAATCATACTAAAAATAAACAAATAATTCCAATAATTAATGTAAAAAAAATACTAAAAAATAATATTTTAAAATCTTTATATACTTTTTGAACAAAAAAATTATATTTTTTTTTAAAAAAAAGAAAAAAATATAATAAATAAACAGAAAAAAATAAAACAGATATTGCAAAAATTGAAGTAACAACTATTCTAAAAGAAACAATATCTGTTCAACCAGTACTTCTAAATGCAAAAATATTTGTAATTACTAAATTTAAAACAAAAGATATATTTAAAATACTAAAAATTTGTTTATAAAATAAAAATTCTGAAAGTTTTATTTTTTTCATCTATAAAATTTATTGTTAAAATGGAGCAGATAAAGAGAATCGAACTCTCATCTTCAGCTTGGAAGGCTGTGGTTTTGCCATTAAACTATATCTGCAAAATTATTTATTACATTTTAACATAAAAAATAATATTAAATATTTAAATCAAAATATTGTAACAATACAAAAAATGAACAAATTGAAACTGCTTGTCCTAAATTAATACTACTTGTTAATTTTGTTTGATTAATTTTAAATAAATTATTTGAATACTTTTTAATTATATTTTTTGGTAAACCAACAGATTCTTTTCCAAAAACAATAAAAATTGGTTTTTCAATCATTGTAAAATCAAAATCTGTAATTTTTTTGTCTGCTTTTGAAGAAGTTGTAACAATATAAATATCTTTATTTTTTGAAATAAAATCTTCTCATGATGAATATTTCTTAATATCTGCTAATTCAAAATGATTTGCACTACTTCTTTTTAATCATTTTTTTGAAAATATAAAACCAAATGGTTCAATTAAATGTAATGTAAAATCAAATGAACAAGCAAGTCTAATAATTGTTCCAACATTTCCAGGTATTTCTGGTTCTAATAAAACAATATTTATTTTCTTTTGAAAAAAATAATTTTCATTTGAATCTTTTCAAAAATACATTTTATTTTTACAAAAATTACAAACAAAAAAAATAAAAGTTTGTTTTTTTATTATTTTTTCTTCTATTTTTGAAATACTATTTTCATCAATTAGTGATTTACAAAAATAACAAGTATTAAAATTTTTTATAATTAATTTTTTATATTCCATTAATCTATTATATTTATTTGTTTAGTTTTTTGTAATTCTTCAATAAATTCTGAAAAATTATAATCTGATGTTATAAACAATGTTTTTCTTGCTCTTGTCATTCCAACAAATAACAATCTTCTTTCCTCTTCTAAATCATTAATTGTTTTAATTCTTCTTGTTGGAAATATATTTTTTGAAACATTAAAAATAAAAACATGATCAAATTCTAATCCTTTTGTATTATGAACTGTCATTAAATTAATTGAATTTTTTTTATCAATAAAATCATCTGAAATAGAAATTTTAATCATATTTAAAAATTCTAAAATTTTTGTTTTAATTGATTTATTTAAATTTTTATTTTCAAAATCATTTATTATATTTAATAAAATTTTAATATTTTTAATTCTTTCATCTTTATTAAAATAAAGTTTATCTAAAATATTTAAATATATTTTTTCAAAAATAACTTTACTTAAATATGATAAACTTTTAATTTCAAATAATTGTTTTTTATAAATAAAAATATTATCAAAAACTTCACTAATATTTGAAGAAATATTATTAAATTTTATATTATCTGAAATATTTTCAATAAACTTTAATAAAGTTTTGTTTTCTTCTTTTGCTGCATTTTTTAATTTTATTATTGTTTTTATACCAACAGCTTTTACTCACATTAAAATTTGTTCAACTTCAAAATCATTTTCATTTACCAATAATGAAATTAAAATCAAAAAATCTTTAATTTCTCTTCTTAAAAAAAATTTAATACCTTTAAAAATATAATAATTAATTTTATTATTAATTAATTCTTTTTCTAACTTTGCTGATAAATAATGAGAACGATAAATGATACATATTTCATTTAATGGTACAAAATTATCAATTAATACTTTAATTTTATTTACAATTTCATCTACTTGTTCATACTCATTGCCAATAAATAATTCAGGTTTTTGAATATTTTTTTTTGTAGCAATGATATTTTTTAAAATACGATTTTTATTTTTTAAAATAAAAGAATTTGATAAATCAACAATATCTTTTGATGATCTATAATTTTTATTTAAAATTATAGTTTCAGTATTTTTAAAATCTTTATCAAAATTTAAAATATATTCAATATCTGCATCTCTTCAACCATATATTGTTTGATCAGGATCACCAACAATTGAAACTTTGATTTCTTTTCCATTATTTGATAATAATTTTATTAATAAATATTGTATTTTATTTGTATCTTGAAATTCATCTATAATTATTTGTGAATATCTTCTTTTTCATTTTATTAAAAGTGATGGATTTTCTTTCAATAAAAAATATGTTTTTTTTAATAAATCAAAAAAATCTAATAAATTATTTTTTTGTTTATATTTTTCATATTCATTACTTAAATTTCATAAAAATAAAATTTGTTTTTCATTTAAAATTGAATCAAATTTTAAAATTATTTCTTTAAAATTTTCATAATTTCTTATCTGTAAAAATTTAGTTTCATTTAATGATTCAAAAATATAATTTATTGTTTCTTTGTCTATAATTTTTCCAAATAAATTAATTTTATTTTCTTTAATTATATTTTTAATAATTTGTTTTTGATCTTCTTGATCTAAAATATTTAAATTTTTATTTTTTACAAAATTTAAATGGTTTTTTTCTTCTAAAAGAAACTTATAACAAAATGAATGATATGTAAATATATGTTTACCATCAAAATCAGATATCTCATTTTTAATACGTTCTTTAATATTTTTACATGCTTTTTTTGTAAAAGTTAAAATTAAAATTTTATTAAAATCTACTTTTTTATTTTTGATTAAATTTAAAATTCTAGAAACCAAAACTGTTGTTTTACCTGTACCTGGTCCAGCAATTATTCTTAAATTTTTTTCTTTTGAAATTAAAGTTGCTTTTAACTGATTTTCATTTAAAAAATTATTATTTATATTTGTTTTTATTTTCATTTTTTTATTATTTTCTATGTTTTTTTCTTCTTTTACAAACACTTGTTGCCCTTCCATTACAACAAGAGCTAAATATTTTGAATCATAAAACAATCTATTTGATTTATTAATTTTTTGAAAAATAAAAATAAAAATAAATCAAAAAATATTTAAACAAGAAATTGAATTAATGATAAGTTTTATTATTTCTTTGTTATTCAATAAATTATTTTTTAATAAAATCAGATAAATAAAATTAGATAAAATATAACTTAAAAATAAAGTTAAATAAACAAAAAATTCTCTAATAATAAAAAAAATGATTGGTAATTTTTTATTATTTTCATTAATTATTTTTATTTTAAAAATATATTTTCCAATTGTTTTTCCATTATTTAAAAATGGAATAACAATTTGTAATAAAACAAAAAAAATAATTGTTATTGAAAATGAAATTAAAGATAAAATTTGTATTTCTTCTTTTTGAAATTTAAATTGTTTTCATATTAAATAAAAAATTGATGTATATATTGAAATTATAATTATTAAATCAAATAATCTTGCAAATATTCTTCTTCATTGTGATGCTAAAACAATATGTTTATTCATTTAATTTTTTAATTTTATATTCTTTATACTCAAATATTTCTAAAATTTTTTTAACTATTCGATTTTTTACAAAAAATAAATATACAAATAAATTAAATATTGGATTTACAATTGTAATCATAAATACAACTATTGGATTTGCTTTTAAATAATCTAAAAAACTTAAATGTGATTTTTCAGAGAAAAATTTTAATTCTCCCATTATTAAAAAAAATATTATATAAATTATTGGCATTAATACTACCATTAAACATATTAATTTTTTTCTTTTTTTTAATCATGAAATAAAAAAACATGAAATACCACTTGCAAATCAAATAAAAACAAAAAAGAAATCAAAAATCATACTTATATCAAATAATGCATGACCTAAAAAACCAGTTATAAAAGCTTCTCTAGGTGGAAAATAAAAAGCTTGAAATCATATCAAAAAATAAAAAACAGGTATAAAACCTGTTGTAAAAAATAATGGTCTAAATATTGATAATGATGTAGATAGCAAAGATCATATTGCAATAAAAGAACTACACAATACAATATTTTTTAAAATTCATCTCATTTAAGTATATAAGTGGTGGGACCATTGGGAGTTGAACCCAAGACCTCACGATTATAAGTCGTGTGTTCTAACCACATCTGAACTATGGCCCCAGTATACTTTTATTATATAAAGAAAAAATAAAATTCTATCTTTTTGAGAATTGAGGAGCTTTTCTAGCTTTTTTAAGACCGTATTTCTTTCTTTCTTTTATTCTAGAATCTCTAGTTAAACAACCAGAATTACGTAGAATATTTTTATTTTCTGGGGATAAAGTTGCTAAAGCTTTAGCAATTGCAGCTCTACATGCAGAAGCTTGTCCTGAAAATCCACCACCAGAAACTTTTATTTTAATATCGTATTTACCAACAGTTTTTGTCAATAATAATACTTCTCTTATTAGTCTTACAAATACAGTATTTGGAAAAAATTTTTCAATTTCTAATTCTTTTTTAATATTTTTACTATTTATTAAAATTTGCGAATCTTTTTTTTCTTCACATGGAAATAAAATTGCTTGTGCAATTGAACACTTTCTTTTTCCTGTACCTCTTATTAAATTGTTTTTTGTCATAATTTATATTAATTTATACTAATTTCTTTTGGTTTTTGTGCATTATGTGGATGATTTGAATCAGAATAAAGATATAAAGATTTTAGTTGTTTTGAACCTAATTTATTTTTAGGAAGCATTCTTTTAACTGCAAATCATAATAATTTTGTAGGATCTTTTTCAAAAATAACTTTTGCATTTTTAACCTTTAAACCACCTGGATATTGTGAATGTGAATAATATAATTTATTTTTTCATTTATTACCAGTTAAAATAATTTTTGAACTATTTATAACAATAACATTTGAACCACAATCTTGATTTGGTGTATACATTGGAAGATTAGTTCCTGTTAAATATGGAATAATTTTACTTGCTAATCTACCTAAAACCAAATCTTTTGCATCAACAACAAATCATTCTTTAACTATTTTTTCTTTTGGTGTAAATTTTGTTTTATACATTTTTTTATATTAATTTTTTATTATAAATAATTATATACTTTTTTACTCTTAATGACTATGTTTATTTTTTAAAGACAATCATTCTTCTAATAAAAAATTTTTTTCTAAAAACTCAATAATTATTTCATAATTTAGAAAAAAAACAAAAATTCCAAACATAAATACAACAATAAAAAATAATATTCAATCTAATTTTTTAAATTGATTTTCAAAATAATATGTTCTTTCTTTGTCAGGATTATAACCTCTTGATTCCATAGCAACAGTCATTTCATCTGCTTTTCTTAAAATAGAAATAATTAATGGAATTAACAATGAAATTAAAGATTTAATTTTAGTTTTTCAACCACCTTTTCTAAAATCTAATCCTCTTGATGCTTGTGCTGTAATAATGTTTTCAGACTCTTCCATTATTGTAGGAACTAATCTAAGACTTAATGTAATTATCATTGCAAGAATATGTACAGGAAATTTTAAAAATTTCAATGGTGATAATAAACTTTCTATTGCCCTTGTCATTTGTATTGTAGAAGTTGTAGAAACTAAAATTACACTTACTAAAATAACTAATGTAATCCTTAATGTAAAATAAAGCATTTGCATTAAACCAGTTTTTGTAATTTGTATAAATCCAAAAATTTTATCAGTTAATGCATTTTCTTTTGATACTGGATCAGAAAAATTTAAAATATTAAATAAAAATAAAAATACAATCATTAAAAAGGATGATTTTAAAATTATCTTAAAAATTTTTCATTGTAACTTTGCTATAAAAAAAACAGATATCATAATAATTATCAATAAAAAATATAAAGTTAAACTTTTTCCACCCTCAAATGTTGGTAAAAAAATTAATATAAAAAATAAAATTGATGAAATTATCTTTAATCTTGGATCAAATCTTCATATAAAAGAATTTTTTGGATTATTTATTTTACTTATTTTAAAGTTCATTATTCTTTATTTTTTTAACTATTTTTTCTATTAATTCATCTTCAGATGAAAATTTTTTTAATTCTGAAATATTTATTTTATTTGATTCTAATTTTTTTAAAAAACTAATTGTATTTGGAATTGACAATCCAATATTTTTAAGAAAATTATTTTCAAAAAAAAGTTGTTCTGAATTTGTTTCTAAAATAATTTTTCCATTTTCTAAAACTATTATATTATCTGCTAAAAATTGAACCATATTCATATCATTTGTTGTAAAAACAATTGTTTTTTTTGATTTAATTGATAAATCTTTAATTAATTTAATTACTTTTTTTGTTGATTCAACATCTAAACCATTTGCAATTTCATCAAATAAAATTAAATCTGGATCATGTGCAATTGAACCAATTATTGAAATTTTCTTTTTTTCACCACCAGATAATTGAAAAGGAGAACGTTTTAAATAAATTTGAGGTAATGAAAGATATTTAAAATATTCTTTTATTTTTTCTTTTGCTTTATAAACATCTAAACCATAATTAATTGTACTAAATAAAATATCTTTTTCTACTGTTTCTTCAAACAATTGATTATCTGAAAATTGAAAAATACATCCAGTTTTTTTTCTTAAAAGTTTAATATTTTTTATTTTTTTATTATTAGATCAAGTAATATCATCAAGTGTTACTTCACCAAATTTTGGTACTATTAAAGCATTTAAATGTTTTAATAAAACACTTTTTCCAGAACCGGGTTTACCAATTATTGCAGTTATTTTTCCTAATGGAAAATTATAATTTATACCATCAATAACTTTTTCATTTGTTTCAGGATTTATACAAATTAAATTTTTTATTTCTAACTTTTTAATTGACATATTTTTTTTATTATTTTTTCTTGACTTAAAATTTTTTTATCTATAATTTTATTATTATATAAACTTAATGATAATTTATAATTAAATGGTAATTCAATAGATTTATTAATTTCTAATTCTTCAAAATTAGACAAATTAATTAATTTTTCTGGTTTATCAAAATAAATTAATTTACCATTATTCATAACAAGTACTTTATCAGATTTTAAAATCCTTTCCATATCATGTGTAATTTCAATAATTGTTTTTTTACCAATTATTTCATCAATTGTTTTTATAACTCCAGATTTACTAAATGAATCTAATAAACTTGTTGGTTCATCAAATAAAATAATTTCTGGTTTTGAAATCAAAACTGATGCAATTGCAACTTTTTGTTTTTGTGCTGGTGACAATTCGGTTGAATTTGAAAATAAAATAGATTCTAATTTTAATTTTTTAACTATTTCAATAATCATTTCTTTCATTTTTGAAATAGGAATCATTTTATTTTCTAAACCAAATGCCAATTCTTGATCAACAGTTTCTTTAATAAATTGACTTTCTGGATTTTGAAAAATTATTCCAATTTTATCTAATAAATTTCTATGATTTTTTTCTTTAAAAGTAGAATCAAGTATTTTTAATTCTCCACTAAATTCTCCTAATAAACCACCAATTAATTTTATTAATGTTGATTTTCCACTTCCATTATGTCCTATTACAACAATAAATTCACCTGGAAATATATTAAAAGAAATATTATTTAAATTTTTATATTTTGACTTTAAATTATATGAAAAACTAACATTTTTAAAAGATATAATTGGTTTTTTAGATGTATTCATCTCTTTTTATAATATTATTTTTATTAATTAAACTAATTTTAGATAAAAAACTGTTGCATTATCACCTAATCTATTTTCTAATTTATAACATTTTAAATAACCACCATTACGATCTTTATATTTAATTGCTAATTCTTTTAATTTAATCAATGGATATTTATCTTTTTTATCTTCTTTTACTTTTACTTTTTTTCTAATAATTTTTAATATTTTTCTATCATTATGTAAATCATCTTTTTTTGCAAAAGTAATTAATCTATCAAAAACTTTTTGTACTCTTTTTTTTCTTGAAATAGTAACTTTAATGTGTTCATGTAAAATTAATTCTGTAACCAAATTACGAATTATATTTTGAACCTTTGATCTTTTATGTGCTGTTATTTGTCTACGTGGCATAATTTATTAACTCTTTAATGTAATTTTACATTCATTTTTTAATTTTTCATCAATCTCACTAACTGATTTATCACCAATATTTTTGATTCTTCTTAATTCAGATAATGTTTTTTCTTTTAATTGACTTACTTTTGTAATTCCAACTGCTGATAAAGCATTATAAGTTCTTTCAGAAAAATCAAGTTCTGTTATTTCAACATCTTCAACTTTTTTTTCAACTTCATCTTTAGGATTTACAAATTTAAATTCTTCAAATTTTGTAGGTGCTAAATCTTTAATAAATTCAAAATGTTTATATAAAATCTCTGATGCAATACTTAAAGTATCAATTGGACTAATTGTTCCATTAGTTTTAATACCTAAAATAACTTTTTCAAGAACAGATTTTTCACCAAGTTTAATTTCATCTGTAATCATTGAAACCTTTTCAACTGGTGAAAAATTTGAAGTCATTGAAATTCAACCAATTTCATCAATTAAATCTCTATTTTCTTCAAAAGTTGAAAAACCATAACCTTGTTTTGCTTTGAAATCAATTTCAACTTCAATTGATTTTGTCATTTCAAATAACTTTAATTCTGGATTTATAATTGTAATACCAACAGGTGTTTCTATATCTTTTGCTTTTACAACACCTTCTTTATTTATTTTTAAATGTAAATTAATTATTTCATTTTCATTATAAATATTTGGTTCAACTTTAATTTTTATTTTTTGAATATTTAAATTAATTTGTAAAACATTTTCAATACAAAAAGGTAATGTTTGTAATTCTTGCATAACATTTTTAATTTTAAATGCAAAAATTGAAATACCAGGAACTACTGATAATAATACACGTCTTAAAGAATTACCAATTGTAATTCCAAACCCTTGTACTAATGGTTGAATTTCAAATTCAACATAATTATTTTCTAGATCTTTTTTTAATACTTTAAATTTTGGTTCAATAAATTTATTCATTTTTTTAATTTTTTAATTTCTATTCCTTATATTTTTATGATCTTGGTTTTTTTGGTGGACGACATCCATTATGTGGTAATGGTGTTACATCAGAAAT